ATATTACCCTCTATCGTGACTAATTTCTTAGTCACAATATTCATTTCTCCCTTTTACAGGAAAAATATTCTTTCCCCAGAGTGACCCTCAAAGGTCAGGGTCAAAGTTTAGTACCTGTGATACTTTCCAGATATGACTTTTTTTTTCCTTGCAGTACTGGGGATTGAACCCAGGGTCTTCACACTGGGCTACATCCCCAACACTTTTTAGTTTTTTGATTTTAAGGCAGGGTCTCACTAAGTTGCCAAATTGCCTAGGTTGGGCTCAAACTTGCAGTTCTCCTGCCTCAGCCTCCCAGCGTGCTGGGATTATATGTGTGTGCCTCCACACCTGACTTATTTTGACTTCTTTTAACCCAGACTTATGAACCTAAACAAATAAATGTTCTCTACCTTCCCACTTGTACCTCATATGCAGCGGCTGAACAAAAACAAAGTAAACATTGAAATTAATACTCCAGCTCACTAACAGAAAGAGTGGGAGGCATACAACCACCACCAATTCTTAGAATTCCACAATCTTGATGAATGTAGGAAACACTCTTTGGCTTGGTCCTGCTTTGGCTGCCTGAAAATAATCCTCTGTTATCATTTTCCCCTGGAAGTGTCCTTTCTTTTCCATTATCCTTCTTGGGGATATCTAGAAAATATACACTCCTTGAGAGCCTCCTTTCTGACCACAGAAACTTGGGAACCCAAAGATTGTTCTTCAACAATAACAATCACTCTCCCGTGACCCAGGCAGATGCATTCTGGCTTCACAATGCTCATAGGAACACGGATAGCAGTTACCTGCCTGGCTCTAGTCAGCAGCACGTGCCAATCACCACACCTGTAATTCTTTTCTCTCCAGGCATACTGTAATTGGTGAGGTACCTTGAATTTATCAGACCTCTAGAGGAGGGCCTTGCCTGTAATCTATTTTTCCTAAACCATTTGATCCAGCTGAGAATTTACAGAATCCACTCCACACCCTCTGGAGGCTAAGTTTTAATTTGAAACTTACTCACCTTTGCTATTCAAAGCATTTCTCAATTTCTGTCTTTCTTGGAGATGATCATTAGTTGTATCTCCAACCCCTAAACACTGGGTTTTCTTTTTTCCATTTCACCCCTTTTTACAAAACAGCTGATTCTTTTCTGAGCTCATTTCTTTCTTGTAGAATTCTGTCAAATGCAGCTAAAAGTAACCAAGATGCCCTCTTTGCCTAAATTATAAGCTACTTGATACATTATCTGTCTTCCAAGTGACCAAAGACTACCAGAATTAGGCCTCAAATACAATGACAACATTTTGGAGCTATATTCTCCTCCTGATACCAATTACTCTTTTAGTCCATTTTCTTAGATAACATATCAGACAATCTTCCTCCCACAGTATCGTACAATACCCATTTCTTTCTTGGAGTACACCTCAGGGCTGCAGGTTGATTTGGCTTTTCTCCACATATTTCTTATTCTGGGTCTTGAATAAAAGCATTGTGTGTGTGCATGCACACGTGTTCTGTGTGTTACTGGGTATTGACTTCAGGGGCTTCATACTGAGCTATATCCCCAACCCTTTATTTTTATTTTGAGACAAGGTCTTGCTAAATTGGTAACTGGCCCAGGCAGGACTGGAACTTGTAATTCTCCTGCCTCAGGCTCCCAAAGTTCTGGGATTACAGGCATGTACCATCACACCCAGCTGGGACTGTGTCTTGTTGGTCTCATGATAGAGAGAAGAGAGAAATGGCTGAACCATATAATGGGTTCTAATGCTCTTGAACAGAGTTGGTATTGACACACTATGCTCACTTTCCATTAACCAAAGCAAGTTCATGTCACCAGCCTCAATGTCAGCAGGGTACCGAATATACTCATCTGTAGGAGGTACTGTAAGGCATTTGGCAACAAGAGGTTACAGGGGTGGGGAAAGATAGGAAACAATAATTTACCCTTGCACACCTCTGGGAAAGAAGCTTGAGATACACAGTGATATCTCAGTTCACAAACTTAATTCTTTCCACAATTCTGGTCACAAACTGAATTGAATGAGAACCGAATCAAATTTCCCAGTAAGGGAAACACTGAACTTAACCATTGAATTTGATTCTGTTCTCCTCCAATTCTGTTTGTGCCCAGAATTGTGGAAAGAAGTAGGTTTTTGAGCCAAGGTACCACTACGTAGTCTATATGATTTCTCCCCCTGTGCCCCCCACACACACAGACGCTCACACACACACACACACGCAGAGGAGAGCAGGGGAAGAGTAAAGAATGAATAGGGCAACAAGGCTCAGGACAGCAGTAGATTTGCATGAGACAGAAGTTTGAAATTGCATTTGCATAGTTCATTTACGTAAGACAGGGGGAAAAAATTACTCAGAATTATCAGTGACAAATAATAGAAAGGACCTTGAAGAAATTATTGGAGGTACTAAAGTTCAAGCTAAGATTCCCACTGGGTAGTGAGGTATAAGGCCTGAAACTCAGAAGAGAAAAGATTGACTGGAGGCATTGCTTTGGGCAATTGAAGTCATGGGACATGAGATCACCTAGGAGAAATATAGAGTGAGCAACAGTAGAGAGAATCCCAATATTCCTCAGTGGTAGGCCATAGAAGAGGTGCCAGTAAAGGAGTGAGAAGGACGCCAGAGAGGTAGGAGATGGATAGAACCATATGCACCTTGGGAACCAGGATAGGAGGGGTTTTGAGAAGAAGGGAGTGGTCAGTCCTTAGGTGCAGCTATCTCTGGATTTGCCTGTGTGGTTGGCCAATGAGTATCTCCTCCTCACCAATACAAACGTGAGCTCACCAGCTCCCCCTTGGGTCTTCACAGGCAACCAACTGGGGCTTCCTAGAGGCTCCTCCTGGTTGTCCTCTGCAGCAGCCACTGGTGGTGGACTGCCCAACACTTGTTTCCTCCTTTCTAATAGGACTGCTGTTCCCTAGACACACATCCACCTATCCCTATGTGTCCATGTGCTTTATGGAATTGGGTGCCATCTGAACCCCAGAGGAGGGTTCTGTTGAGTAGGTTAATCGTGGTGGCTCCATTTCCCTTGTCAATGGCTGGTTTGGCTATGGATATGTGACATAATTCTGGTCAAAGTGATGGAACAGGAGTTTGTGCCAAAGGCTTTTGGGAAAGGTTCTATTACTTCTGTGAGATACACTGCAAGAGGCCATCCCTTCTTCTGTTGGACATTGTCATACAATTTGCCAACCATGGCCTTACAGCCTGAGGAGAGGCAGCTTGCAGGTAACAATGATACATTTGCAATGAAGATGCAAAGCAGAAATCCTTGACTCTTAATGATGCTGTTGAACTGTTGCATTAACCAATCTATGGAGCTTCCCTGCCTCTGATTTTGTTGTTTTGTGAGATAATAATTGATTTTTTTGTTATTGTGTTTAAACCACTTTGATTCAGTCTTCTGTTTCTTGCAACTGAAGAGCATTCTAATGAATACAGCTTCTTTGTGGTGCTCCCCTCCAAGACTAATCAGAGGTTGGCTCTAATCTAGGTATCCAGGGTGGGTCTTGATTTATCTCAGTCAGTCATAATAATCCTATTCTTGCTAACTGATCAAGAGCCCCACCCCAGAATTTGGGATTCAGAACATGGCATTCCCCTGGCTACAGGGACTGGCTCAGGAATGGGTTCCTGACCCAGTTTAAGTCAGTGAGGATTGGCTGCCTCCTTTTGGTCCTAGGGAAAGTCATAACAAGAGAGAGTCTCTCTCAGTCAACAAGAAAAGTGTGTTCCTCTGACTGCTGATGGCTGCATTCTATGTGACCTGGCAAGCCAGACAGGATGAAATTCACACTGTAGATGACAGAGCAGAGAAACAGACACAGCCTGGGTCCTTGCTGTTATTGTGAGCCCCTGGATCCACCAGTGCTCTGCACTTGCTCTTATATGCACCATTATGTCCCCTTTAACCAGTTTGTGCCAGTTCTGCTGTGGCCCCTGAAATCATCATGGGTGATGAGCCGCCCTCCCACAGCTCACCAGTTCAGGGGATACCAGATTGATTTCACCAGCGGCTCTTGAACTTGCCGCTTCTTTATCCCTACTGCCTCAGCCAATCCCATGACTTCTCACCTGGGTTCCTGCAAAGACCTCCTCCCTTGCTGACCTCCAGATCCATGTCCCCCTAGTTCACTGTCCACATGCTGCCACATGAGTTAAGGATGAAGAGCTGAGCCTGTCACCTCCTTGCTTTAGATCCTCCTCTCCACATGGCTGTCTCCAGCTCAGTCCTTTAAGTTTACTTCAAGCTGCTGCTGGGAAGCCTTTTCTGACACCCTTCAAGCTGCCCCATGTTTTCTTTGGCCAACCGTGGACCCCACTATAAGAAGTGCAGTAGGGCCGGCGATTTAGCTCAGTGGTTTCGCCGCCTGCTGTGCAAGCGCAAGGACCCGAGTTCAGTCCCCGGTACCAAAAAAAAGAAGTGCAGTATCACCTTACGATTTTTCTCTTTTCTGTTCTGCTCATTGTATGGTGGATTGTTGAGAGGGCCATGTTCCAGGCTCAACAGACAACAAGTTGTTCAGTGAGTACAACTAGAATTGAGTTTTGCCTAAACTGTGCTATATAAGCAGGGCACTAACCAAACAGGTAATTCAGTATGGTGTTAAGAACACTGGACTACAATCCACAAAGCCTGACCTTTTGTTTTGATTTCACCACGTATGGACTGTAAGGCCCTCACAGAAATGTCTTAGCTCCCACACACATCAATTTGTCATCTAGCAAATAAACACTGCAGTTGTGCAAGGGGTAGCATAGCCTGCTCCAGTGATGCCTTTCAAAGATACAAACACCCCACTGTGACGTGTACCATAGGCTCGCCCCACTGCACTCTCTACCTTTCTTAAGGGAATGACTATTTTGCCTGAAAATTTCTCATTCATCATGAAGACACAGAAGGGGGAAAGTACTAATACAATGCAAAATAAAAAGGAAACACCAAACTTTCACAATGCATTTATTACCCATAATTAATAGCATGAGTAACAGGATCATTTTCCAAAGGCATGGAAAAGAGAATAAAGAAGGTGACTGTGATCATTGGAGGTGATTCAAAGGACCACCAGACAGCACTATGGACAAACAAATTGCTGCTCCCCATGGCAGTCAGAGCACAGAAATGAAGGCTGCCTAGTCACTAAAATAGCCTAATCTGGCTGTTCTAACCTCCACAGAGAGGGAGACAGAGGGTGCTGGTGGGGGAGAGTGACTACTCCTCAAACAGAGAATGATTTAATACCACTGGCTATGTGACAGATAAACTCATGTCTCAAAATCACTACACTTGGGTTTTTCCACCAGCACTTATTTTGGTTGTTTACACATGACAACAGCAGCATTTGTTGGTGACTGGATTCAAAGGACTGGGCATTGCATTGCAGGAAGACACAAACAACAAGGTGGGACATACAGCCAGTTCAGTAGCTTTCCCTTCTTCAGCGACTACAAGGGCCTGGGAGCCCATGGTTGCCTTGAGGGCTTGATGTGGTGTTGGATCACACTAAATGTATACCTTTTACTTAACTGCTGGTGTTCCTTCCATCTTTGGAAGTCTTTGGAAACCTTTGCATGTGATGAAAATGTATCTTCACGGCCAAAATGGCAGCCCAGAGCCTGTGGCTTGCTGGTTTTATTTTTAGGATTACAGGAGACCTTCATCTTGCTTTTATGCTTAACCTCAGTTTCCCAAATGTAGGAAGCAGAAGCCACAGCAGCTGGGGGGAGTAGCAAAACCAAGGCTTTGTGGTCAGATGGACCAGGATGTGAGTCTCAGGCTCAGCAGCCCCTAGTCATGTGAACTGCAGTAAGTCACTTAACTTCTTTGAGCCTTGTTTTCCCCATCTCTGATATGGGAATAATGAATGCCTACTTATTTGATTGCTTCACTCATTCATTAGCTGCCTTCTAGGCACCAGACAATATCCTAGATCAGACTCCAAAGCAAAGGAGTGAAATAGATGTAGCTCCTGTCTACAACATGCTTATATTCCATTATGAGAAATGAATAATGGACAAAAAAGCACATGGTACCATGCCTGGCTTTTAACAGGCACTGAATAAATGTTTTGAGTTGATCAAAAATAAAAGTATTGAAGTTTTATAACATTTGAGTATACAGTAATTCCTTTTTCATTGACCCCATTCCTACCTCAGGGCCTTTGCATGTGATGCTCTGTCCAGCCTGTTCTTTCCCTACATATTTACAGGGCTGCCTCTCACTTCATTTATATCTGTACTCAGATGTCACCTCCTTGGGCCAGGGATTTAGCTCAGTGGTTCTGCCGCCTGCCTCAAAAGCGCAAGGTCCTGATACCAAAAAAAAAAATGTCACCTCCTTGGAGAGGCCATTCCCACCTCTATCACACTACCCTCTTCTCTTGCTTTAAATCCATCCACCCAGCCCGATACTGGGGATTGGAAGCAGGGAGCACTGAGCTACATCCCCAATCCTTTTTTATTATTTTGAGACAAGATCTCATTAATGGTCCAGGCTGGCCTTGAACTTGAGATCCTCTGGCCTCAGCCTCCTGAGTAGCTGGAATTACAGATGCATGCCACCATCCTTGGTTAAACCCATTCTTGATGCGTTTTTAAATCTTCTATTAGTGATAAGTGCCTGTTAGATTTAGGGCAAATTTGGGGGGAGAAGTCTATAATATAATCATACTTTTAAAAATAGATTTGAAAACACTTTATAATAAAAGATGTAAGAATGGCCAATAAGTATGTGAAAAAATATCCAGCATCACGAGTCATCAAGATGGATATTACTAAGTGTTGGCAAGAATGCAGGACAACTGGAACTTTCATACTCTGCTGATGAGAATGCAAAATGGTTCAACACTTTGGAAAACACCTCGGCAGTTTCTTTTATATTCTTACCATGTAATCCAGTAGACTAAATCCTAGGTACTTACCTAAGACAATTGAAAGCATATGCATATATAGAAACATTTCTATGTGAATGTTCATAGCAGCATTATTCAAAATACTCAAAAACTGGTAATATCCCCAGTGACTACCATCTGTTGAATGGATAAACAAAATGTGTTTATACACAATGGAATACTACTCAGCAATAAAAAGAATGGATTAACTGGGGATTTAGCTCAGTGGTTCTGCCCCTTGCCTCACAACCACAAGTCCCCGAGTTCGATTCCCAGTACCAAAAAAAGAATGGATTGGGCCGGGGATTTAGCTCAGTGGTTTCTCTGCCTGCTGCGCAAGCACAAGGACCCGAGTTTGATCCCCGGTACCAAAAAAACCAAAAAGAATGGATTGATAAATTTGAAATATGAATGAACCTCAAAAACACACTGCTGAGTGAAAAGAAGCCAGAATCAAAAGGCTACCCACTGTCTGATCTCATGTACACAGCATTCAGAAATCAGATGGTGGTTTCCTGAGATAGAGAGTGGGGAGAAAGGATTGGCTATAAAATGACCCAAGGGAACTTTTTGGGATGATGGACATATCTTGAGTATCACAGTGGTTATACAATGTATACAACAGCGAAAGCTTACTGGACATACACTTACGAAGGGTGAATTTTATACGCAAATTGTCTTAGTAAAGCTGTTACAAAAATATCAAATCTATCTGCACATGAAAGTGACTATCTCTTTTGATAGGACATGGGTGTCTCTAATTTTCTCGTCTTATCTAAATTTTGTAAAATTTCCACAATGATTATGTAGTACTTTTGAACAGAGAAAAAAAAAAACCCAACAGAAATTGGGTCATTCAACAGGGACTCTATTTTGATGCAACATCAGTTACTTATAATGAAGCCTATTTGGTCACTGCTTTCTTATTGATCTTTCCTCAGTGGCACTTCAGGGTGGTGAGCTGAGGAAATGGATCCAGAAAGGTTCAGAGCTTAATAGCAATGCTTTGTCCCTGCAGCCCTGGGCTTGGCTCCCATCTGGAGTTGGGGATGAATACACAGTAGGCTAATGATAGGGGGCTCTGGTCCTCGTCTGCCAGCTATGCCCTCCATTCCAACCCAAGTCAACTCATGCATCCTCCAGGCCCCAGGAGAAAGCCTGAAGCCCAGGGCTGGGTAGACTGTGGTTTGTGGCCCAAGTGGCTCCCGCCTCCAGCTCACGTTGGTCAGCTGAGTGTCGCTCGGTCTTGAGGAAGTCAAGAGCCCATTCATCCGTGGAGATCTGCAATGAGAATGGCTGCTCTTGTTGCACATGGCACCACAGGACACAGAGTCCCTCCAAGAGCCCCTCTGGGGTGGAGACGCTCAGTGTCAACAGGCTGCTGGCCTCTTCTCCCATCACACACTCAGTTTATCCCCAAACTCTCCGTCTGTGAGAGGGCAGTCACCTTGGGAGACCCGGCCTAGCCAGAGGCAGAGGGTGGCACATCATCGGGAGAGGCCCATGTGGACTGTCCTTGAGGCCCGTGGTTGTATGAGGCTCCCAACAGGGCCCAGGTGTCAGGACACAGGAATCCAGCAAAGATAACAAAGCTATAATTACAAAAACAGCTTCATAAAAGTACACTGTGGGTGGAGGATACAGTTTTTTAGCTGCTCTAGTCAAGAAACTAAGCCCAGTGGGAGGGAGCTTAGAGCAACTGAGGCAGGCAGAGTGTGAGACAGGTCACAGCTGTCCTTGGAGCCTCTGCTCTGTCACCTATAAATGCCAAGTTGGAGAGATCTTGCGGTTTTTGTCCTCAGACTCACACAGGAACTATTTGTAGGAACGACTTTCATTATCTAAAAGCACCACACATTATTTACCATAGCCAAAAGGTGGAAACAAACCAAAGACCCACTGAAGGCAAATGAATAGACAAAAGGTGAACTGTATGTGCAATGGAATACTATTCAGCCTTTAAAAAGAAAGACCATTTTGACACAGGCTACAACATGGCTGATCCTTGAGATCACTATGCTAAGTTAAAGAACAGTCACAAAGGGATGAATACGATTCCACTTTCTTGAAGTAACTAGAGGGGTCAGATTCAGACAGAAAGTAAAATGACGGTTACTCAGGGCCGGGAGGAGGGGGTGGGGGGTGACTCTTTAATGGGCACTGAGCTGCAATTTGAGATGACAAAAATGTTCTGGGAATGGGTAGTGGTAGTGGTTACACAACAATGTGAATTTGTTTAAAGCCTTTGATCTATGCACTTAAAATGGTTAGAATGGCACATTTTACGTTGCATGTATATTATCACATACACAAAGAAACAAGCTCCCAATCCCCCTACAAGGCCTCACTGCTTCATGACAGCATCAGATCATCTGTCACCATTCAGATCAGTCTTGGAACAGGCAGGCATAGCCTCCGATTTTTTTTTTTAAGAAGTAAAAATAGCAGCAACATCTATGAATTGTGACCTCCAGGGGGTTTCTGGCAGTCATGACCTCTGAGAGCCTCCCAACTTTGGGAGGTTAATGAAGCAAAGAGATTGAAATGGAAAGATTGTTTGCAGAGTATCTTGGTCCCCTCACACCCTCCTTCTGGAAAGGTTGTGATTTTGTGGTAGGGAGGCCAGGCTAAAAGGCAAGAAATGTCTCAGGGGAGAGATGATCTCAGAAAGCTCCCAGCCACAGGGATGGGTATTTGGGGTCTGCGATGGCTCTTTGGCCTATTTTTAGATCCTAGAGTCAGAAGTCTTCATAAACAGCCAACAATGCTCAGGCCTGTGTGACACAGGACACTGAAACAGAACCAGAGAAGGGGACCATGCATGGTCACTCAGGGGCAGGGTGACACACCCAGCCTGAGACCTTCATCCATCCCTTCCAGACTCCTGGACCAGAGTCGTGAGGAACCTTGGCAGCCTGCTCAGTACATGGGTACAAACATCACGCACAGGGCAGCTCAGGCTGGAAATTACAAGGGCAAACACAATAGACTCTCATTTCCCAGCCCGAGAGCCTGGTTACCATGATACTGCCTTTTGGTTTCATGTTGGGCAGAAAACCTTTGGGGAATTTCCAGTGTTGCTCCCTGCTATGCCCACTTTCCCTGAAATACAGGATGCAGTGTGGGAAGAACAATCAGAAGCCCAGTTCTCATGCAAATTCTGCCCTTCTATGGCCCTGTGACCTTGGCCATTTTGGGCCTCAGTTTCTTGGCGAGATGGCAATAACAACATCTTCCATCTCAACTTGTATGAATCAAATGACACAGTGTCTGGGACATACTTGGACACTAGAACGGCCGTCCATTTTCTTCAGCCCCTGTACCCAAAGCTTAGAGTGGAATAAGCAGGGTCAAGTCATTGTATATTGACTAAAGAAACTATCAGAGCCTCAGAGACCTGACTCCTAGAAGTGTTTCTTTCTCTTTTATCCACTAAATGTCTAACAATGGAAGTAGTGGAGGTGAAGGGAAGCTGTCCAGTTAGCTGCAGATTACTGGAGCTTCAGAAGAACCACCAGAGGCAGCCCCATCCTTCCTGCCTCCTGGAGTTTGCCTCACTCTTGGAGTGATGCAGGTGAGAGCCACAGAAACACAGATCTCCTGCACCCTGCTCCATTTTTAGGGTGCATGAGTCATCCATGCTGGGGAGGGGTTTAGTGTTTGTCCGTCGAGAGTCCCCAGAGGCCACCCAGCTGCAGCTTTAGATGGCCAACTTTTCCCTCGCCATAAGCAGGGAAGAGAAGCCTTGGAGAAGGCTTGGTACCAGCAGCCCCCGGAGCCCCTGGAGCCCCCGTGAGCAGATGCATTTCCCAGGGCAGGAAGTAGATGCTGTGCGTTCCTCTCCCCCTGGCCCACATGTTAACAAACAGACAGCTGCATTTGGCCTCTCAGCTGCCTGTGGCATTGTAAGTTCTGCCTGGGTCTTGGTGATGGAGGTGCAGAGTGTTCCTCTTCCCTTCCCTGGGCTCAGGATCCCCGCAATTGGAACAGGCTCCCCAGGGTTCCTGAGGCTGCTCAGTTGTGCTGTCCTGGGAGAGAATGGCAGAAATCCTTCTTGGAACAGACCAACAGATTATAGCTGGTGGGAGGGACACAGATTGTCCTCCTAGGAAAGGGTCAGGGGAGTGGCTTCAGTCTCAGCACATAGGGGCACCCCAAGATACAGGTTCCCAGCATCAAACCACAGGTCAGAGTTCCTTCCTGCTTCTCTGTTCCCTAATTGCCATTTATATACTTCACTGCTTTTGCAGACAAAAGGGAAAGTGAAATCTCCAGCTGAGAGACCTTGGGCTAGTCACCTCTCCTCTTAAGGGTCTTTGTTTTTGCATTTGTAGAAGGGGGATAAGAGTTTATTTGCAAGCTGGTGGCACACACCTATAATACTAGCACTCTAGGAGGCTGAAGCAGGAGAATCCCAAGTTTAAGCCCAGGTCTGGCAATTTAGTGACTTCCTTAGTGAGACCCTGCTTCAAACTTTAAAAGGAGCCGGGAGTGGTGCTTCACGCCTGTAATCTGAGCACAGGGGAGGCCGAGGCAGAAGGTTCACCATGAGTTTGAGGCCAGCCTGGGTTACATAGCGAATTCAAGGCCAGGCTGAACTACATAGCGAGACCTTGTCTCAAAGACAAAACAAAACAAAACCTTTATAAGGACCAAAATGGCTGAAGATGCAGCTCAGTGCAAAGGCCCTGGGTTCAATCCCCAGCACAAAAAATTTGAAAGCCCATTCGCAAAGCCTTGTGAGGATTCAGCAAGATGATGGTTGTCCAGTCCACCATACAGAAGGGTTTGGGGAACTTCCCTCCTTCCTCTTCCCCTCACCAGCCTCTCTCAGAGTGAACCAGCCCAGCCCACCTGTGTGACAAGGAAGCATCCTGGCACCCTCTTCTAACTCCAGGGTGCAGCCCCGTGCTGGGGGTCACGTGTGCAGTGGGGACCACCTCAGATGTTCCAGGCTGGCAGGGTGGGGGGCAGATGGGAGCAGCCCGGTCCCTCCCCGGGCAAGCCCTGGTGGGCCACCCGCCCGTTGCGCAGTAGGAGATGGCCAGGCCTAGGGGCACCACTGCTGGCGGCCGACTCCGAGGGCAGACCTGAGTCGCTGGGCTGCACCTCCACCAAGACCCGCCTGCGCAGGAGCCCGAAGGGCCGCTCGGAGTAGGCGGCAGCGTGCTGGCCGCCACAGGGCAGCGCACAGAGCTGGGCTCGGAAAGCGGCCTGGAAGCCACGGCGGAAGTTCTCATTGAAGTAGCCGTAGATGATGGGGTTGGCGCTGCTGTGGAAGAAAGCCAGCCAGTGCGCGAAGGGGAAGGCGTAGACGGACAGCAGGTGCAGCTGCGGCTCGCTAAGCTGCCCGAAGTCGATGAGCAGTAGCAGCGCCCAGAGCGGCAGCCAGGACAATGTGAAGAACAGCGCCACCATGACCAGCATGTGTACCACGCGTGCCTTGCGCCGCGAGGCGCGACTGCCCTCTCCCGCAGCCTCCTCACCATCGCTCGAGGGGCCGGCTGCCTTGCAGAGCTTGCGCGCGATGCGGGCGTACATGACCACGATGAGCACCAGCGGTGCCAGGTAGATGTGCGCAAAGAGCACGGCGGTGTAGACTTTGCGCATGCCCTTCTCAGGCCAGGCCTCCCAGCACGAGTAGAGCGGGTAGGAGCGGTTCCGCGCATCCACCATGAAGTGGTGCTCCTCGCGCGTCACGGTCAGCGTGACAGCCGAGGGACACATGATGACCAGTGCCAGGGCCCAGATGACCGCGATGGTGACCAGCGCCTTCCGCAGGGTTAGCTTCTCTCGGAAAGGGTGCACGATGCAGCGGAACCTGCGTTGGGCAGGGGGAAGAGGCAGGGTTGTGGGAGGGCCCGGGCCCACCTTCATTAGGGGTGACGGGATGAGGACACTTGACAGTCCCAGTGGCACTGCCAGCGAGTCAGAGGACAGCTCAGATGCTCATTAAGTGAGTTTGCAAGCAGATTGGTTTCTCACCTGGCAGGGAGGCAGCTTACCCTGTGGAGTCCTCCAGCAGCAAAAGCAACAGCAGCACTGGCAGAGCGGAGGAGGGAACCAAAGACTGGGGACACTGAATCCTGCCTATGTGCTTCTGGGGTAAACTGAGAGCTGGCCCCAATCAGTGGCACGCACTCTGTCTTGGAAAAGGCTGCCTGGGTGTATCACCAAACACAGTTTGTAGCTGTTTATGGCTTCCCCAGAAAACCCTTGGAGCACAGGTTTGACCGCACCTGTGCCACCCTCTCAGCCATGTCCCATCAGTAGCTCTGCTGTGTGAGGCCCAGTCTGCACTGCGTAGTTCCTCATTAGAACCTCTCAGCAGCAATTGCTGTTTTACCCTTAATTTACAGAGAGGAAACTGGGATTCAGAGGTGTCAGCCACAGGCTTAAGGTCACACAAGCAGCCAACAGCAAGAGGCCAGACTTTGAACCCAGACTGTGCTCCACTGTGTCACATAAACCAGTAGCTGTGAAGCCTCGCCATACATTAGAATCTCCCAAAGCAATTAAAAAAACAAACCTGTGCTTCTTTCTTCGGGCAAAAACTCCAGTGTAATTTGTCTGGGAAGGGGCTTTAGCACTGCTTTTCTTTGAAAGCCCTGGGGGTGATTCTCAGGTGTAGCTAGTATTGAGAACCGGTTCTGGAGGTTGAGGAAGTGGATACTTGGCCCCTGCCATGTGGATCAAAGGCCATTGCTCAACTAGTGCTCCAGGGCAGGTGCTATGACTTCATCATCATTCTCAGGGTGTGTTTGGATGACCATTTGAATGAACAACCAAAAGGACAATTACTCGAACTCTTTCTAAGCCTCAGTTTCCTTATCTGCAAAATAAAACCACTGATATGACTTGCTCTGTAGGGCTTTTGTGAAGAAGTGAGATAATAACATCCTTGTAGACATTTTGGATACTTAATAGTGAGAAAAAGGAGGGCCTCCTACTTCTTAAAAAGTCTCAGTCTCACCTACTGATGCCAAAAAATGCACACCTGAAGGGGAAGAGGAAGTAAAAAAGAATTAAGATGTATCGTGTGTGTTATGTAACTATTCCAACTTCCCAGGATGAATGTAGTCAGCATTACTGCAAACATATACTAATAATTTTTTTTTTTTAATCCTGCCAGGGGGCCGGGGATTTGGCTCAGTGGTTCTGGCACCTGCCTCACAAGCACAAGGTCACGAGTTCAATCCCCAGTACCCAAAAAAAAAAAAACCAAAAACCAAAACCTGCCAGGTGTGGTGGTGCATGCTTGTGGGAGGCTGAGGCAGGAGGATCACTGGGAGTTCAAGGCCAGCCTGGGCTACATAGCAATACCCTATCTCAACAAAACAAAACAAAACCCCAGGCACCTGAGGTCTAACCAGTCAAGCTTACTTATTCAGTGGAAGGGGAACCTGGCTGAGAGAGGGAGAGGGACTTTCTTACAAGGTCACATGGCTCCTTACAGCACAACCTGTGCGAGAACACAGGTGTCAGGCTGACTTCCAGCCCAGCAGCCTTTCCACTCACTAACCTGGGTCCCAGGCTTCTGCCTCCCTGTTTCCCAGCCTGGAAGCACCCTTTCCCTTTCCCACAGCCTGACTCAAGACTTGCCGCCTCAACCTCTGCAACCTTGACCTCCTTGGCTTCATTAGCATTGCATACTCAAGAAATCTCCAGAGAACAGATAATTCTGAAAGCATGCAGTGCTGGTTATGAATGCAATAGCTGTTCATAGGTGGAGGGAATCGCAGGAAGGTCTCCTGGAGGGCATGGGACTTAGAGAATACCCCACACACTTCTGGGAGAGGTTGCACTCACCTAGGACTCAACAAGCAAAACAAAGTGAAGGTTGGCTAGTGCTTTGTGGAAAAAGAAACTTGCTTCTTCATGTCAACTGCCTATTTCTTTGAGCTACAGAAAACTAGGTTTGGTGAGAGCAAAGACGGAAAGAAGATGAGAACACTAGATTCAAGAAAGGGCAGGGCTGAGAAGTGCTCGTGTTGGAGAGAGGACAAAGAAGTGGGTATGGAAGAAATAAAACAGTGCTAGCAGCTGGCATTTGGACTCTGTGCCAAGAACTGCACAAGCTTTATAGGCAGAAGTTCTCTGGAGCCTCCAGCCCAGTAGAGAGTGTCTTCCATTTATAGAAGAGATCAAACAGGCTCAGAGTAGCTAAGTAACTTACTCAGCATTCTGCAAGGAGGCAATGATGAGAACAAAAACTACCTTCAGCTGATCTGCCTGTTTCCAGTGCCTGGGGAAGAGCACCAGCAGGAGCCCTGATGCCCTGGAGATGGTGAGCAGGAGAATGCCCAAGTGTAGAACACTGAGGAAGACTTGTGTGCTCAGTGCTGGCTCAAAGCCTCCTCAGCCCCCAGCTCCATTCAGTTCCTCACCTGTGGCCTCATTAATGTGCTTATCAGAGAATCTGCTGGGCCCTGAGGCTGAAAGATCAGAAGTGGCAGAGGTGGGTTGAAGTAGGGATTGAGAAAAGCCAGGACTTCGGAGACCAGCAAGCATGCTGTGGGATAGGGTGAAGGAGCTGGGAGGAGACCTCTTTCCCAAGCTGCCCTCCCACCTCTTGCCCTGGCTCAGGATCACAGGAGGCAGGATTCCTGCTGCTCAGGACCAGGACTGCCCTCCAGCTCCTCAGGGGTCCCAGGAATGCTACTGAAACTCCTCAGGAACTGCCCCCAGACCTCCAGAAGGAGGGGACTGTGGTATCCTCAGCAGTCTAGAAGGCAGCTAGCCCTACAGCCCCACCTACCACAGAGTGTTACCCCCCTCCCAGCAAGCCCAGTACCAGAGGCAGCTCCCCACCCCTGTGCCCACCCCAGTAAGCCCTGGAAACTTCTCACCTTTCTACAGCGATGGCCACCAGTGTGAAAACGGAAGCTGACACAGACATGCCTTGCACCAAGCCGCTCATCTTGCATGTGGACTTGTCGAAGGGCCACCCTGCAATGACAAAGGTCCCCGCAGAGGGAAAGGTGCCCACTCACTGACAGTCAGGGACTCCTGGCCATCTAAGGTAGGATCTCTGAAGCTTGAGTCTTTCCTCCTGTCCTGCTGGAGGTCACCTGATCTCTGCCTGCACACTTCCAGAACCGAACCGAGGAACCAAGCAGCCCATCCCAGCACAGACAGTTCCAATCAGGACCTGGTCTTTGTACTTCCCAGTGATTTCTCTCTGTGAGCCCTGCCTGGCTTCCTGTGCCTGTACTCTCCCCTTGGTTCTAAGCCATTTCATCCTCACAACAACCCTACTATTACCATCCTCTTTGGACAAGTGGGAAAATTGAACAGATTGCTTTATCATCTCTTTGCCCCTAAATCACTGTGGATTCGTGGTGAATCAGGTCTGATGGCTGAGCAGTTTAAGAAATAAGAGAATTTAAGAAAACACACACTTATTTTCTCAGTTGTGCAAAGGAAGTACAGGGAGGATCAATCAGAAAACAATGAGATTGGCAGCCTGTACAGGGAGAGGGTGAGGACAGGGTGACAGTCATGGAGAACTGAGGTACTTGAGATGACAGGGAGGGACAGTTCTTTGAGTGTGTCTGTATGGCGCAGGCTTTTTAGAACCATAGCAATGTTTCACAAATAAAAAAATAACTAAAATCTATCTGGGTATAGGAGAACCGCAAGTGGAATACAAACAGTAATCAATAAATCCAATTGTATTACAAATGAGTAATTAACCACACTGAAGGGGGAGGCTAGACACTAACCTAAGTTAGTGACTTTGGAAATCAATATTTCAACTATTTACTATTAGACTAAAGAAGAAAAGAAGCACACACAGATTCTGTACCCTCATGAATAAATCTGTGGTATTCCTGACAAAATGCATAAATTAGATCTACACTTGATCTTAGCCAAAAGGCCGAGAAGCAATATAAATTGAATCTAATTATGGGAAAAAGGGGAAACCCACATCACTGAAGCTGTTACGTGTATACAAAATTGGTGGAGTAAGTAAATCTATTATGGCTAAATAGAGCTAGATTTCTGATTGTCTGAGAAGTTACAAATAAGGAAAAGGGGAAAAATTAAAATGCATCTTCTGATATGGATTGGAATCAAAAGTATTAGTATGATCTCATAGTTTTAAAAATACAGATAGATGGCTGGGTATAGAAATAAATAAAGGTATGTGTACTAAATACCTTTGAGTATATAAGTAATTCCTAGCTCTATCCCTCGAGATGGTCTAGAAGTAGTGACACCCCGGTAGCAATGGATACCCCTGGAACCCAGGTTTTGGTTTCTAAACTCTACTCTCCAATGAGAGAAAACAGGGCTCCTTAGAGAATGGTTCATTCCAGGGTGACACAAGAAAAATACAAAATGAGCCTGAAACATTTTGTGATGCCAAAAAGCAAGGAAATACAATACTAAAAAAATCATAGCAACATGTTGGAAGGACACAGAGCCCACTGGAAAGAGTCCCCACTAGCCCAAACTGGTGCAGTTTAAGCTACAAAATAATGGTCTGGCCGGGGACTTAGCTCAGTGGTTCTACTGCTTACCTCACAATTGAAAGGACCTGAGTTCGATCCCTGGTTCCAAAAAAAAAAAAAAAAAAAAGAATGGTAACATTGGATTAAATCCAGTGGAGTAGAATTCCAATTAATAAATGTAGAAGGAATGACGTTAGGAGAAAATTATCACTGGGGAAACATGACAGTAATAATTGTTGCAGGCAGAAACCATCAATGCATGCAAAAATTAGTATGCAAAAGTATAATGAGAAATGAGATATTTGCATAGTGTCAAAGTATCTCCCTACAGGATACTTCTTAATTATAAAGGGAAAAATAATGGCATTATTGTTGAAAAACCTGAGACGCCATTTTGAGCAGGTAATCAAAGTAAACATCACTATTAGTTACATGTACTTTGTCAACATGTCTTCTGTAGTGTTCCTATCAAAAATGCATATACAAAGCCAGGAGTGGTGGTGCAGGCCTGTAATCACAGCACTCTGGGAGGCTGAGGCAGGAAAATAGGAAGTTTGAGCCCAGCCTGGGTAACAGCAATTTAGTGAGACCCTGTCTCAAAATTTTACAAGGGTAGGGCTTCTGGGGATGTAGCTCAGTGAGAAGGCCCTGGGTTTAATCCTCAGTACAGCAAAAGAGGGAAACAAAACAGCATAAACCGGATTTAATTAGGGGAAAACATCAGGCCAACCTAAATTGTACAACATTCTCCAAAATAACTGATCAGTGCTCTTCACATGTGTCAAAGTCATGAAACACAGACCACGAATCTGTCACAAATTGAAGGAAACTAAGAAAACAATGAAATACAATATGTGATCCTAGGTTAGGTCCCGGACTAGAAAAGAGGTGCTGGGCAGGCATGGTGCCACATGCCTATAATTCAGCACTCAGGAGGCTGAGGCAGGAAATCATCTCAAGTTTCAGGCCAGCCTGGGATATATAGTGAGTTCAAGGCCAGCCTGAACCACATAGTGAGACCCTGTCTCACAAAAAGAAAAAAAGAAAAGCAGTACTAATCTTAATTCTGCAAAACACAATCTAGGACACCATAAAGACCAAGTGCCCCAAAGTCTAAAATCCCAAAAATTATATTCCTAATATATTAAAATCCTGATGTTTCTTTTAATCCTGAAATCTGAAATCAGAAATGATAATTCCCACTGGGGGAAGGAATTAGTGTGTTGTCAGCTGTTCACAGGACACTCATATCTGCCTATCTTGTCAGATGCAGAACAAATACCTAGAAACCCGGGAAAGTGGTCTTTGGGGTGTGTGGGGGAGGGCATTGCCAAGGAGAGTGGTGCATGAGTCTGACTATTGGACTGAGTGGAGAAGAGCCAAGAAGTAGAGAATGAACATGAGCATCTTCTCCTCAGAGAGCTGGGGCCTCAGAGAAAACAGGCAGCTGTTCATTGCCATACAAGATTTCAAAATATAGTTAATAACTGAAGTTGGGCAGCCCTTAGGGACTAATGTGTAATTACTCATAAGCTATCCCTGCAGTATATATGCTGAATCTTATTAGTGTTATAAAAAAATGTGTTTTTTAGTGTTTTTGTTTTTCTTTACTTTTTGAAGTTTTTCACCCACTATTTTACATTTTCAGCATTATTTTTTACAATTCACTGTGCTGTGTATTTCATCTGTACATCATTTCCAACAATGGAGGTATAGATTGTGTAAAGACTCTTAGAAAGTTCTGCAGGGTTTTATGCAAAATTGACTTCACAGGCTGTATCACCACAACACTGACTGTGTGTAAGTATTCTGTGTTTGTGTAAAACTTTGAAAATCCTCAGTAAATGAAGAGATGTCCTGTCTGTCCATCTGCATGTATGAAAGAGAACAGTTCTCAAGATCTTGCTTCTCTGGGTGACGCCTGTGCACTAGTGATACATTGAAGCTTTGGATGGGTCTTAACAAAAGACTAAGGCTGGGCTGGGGATTTAGCTCAGTGGTTCTAGTGCCTGCCTTGCAAGCGCAAGGTCCTGAGTTTGATCCCCAGTACCGAAAAAAAAAAAAAAAGACTAAGGCTGTCTTGGTATTTCAGATGACTGCAGTTATATAGCTGGGAACACATAATTGCCAGCCTTAGTGATATGCATCTATACAGTTTTTTACTTATTGCTTTAGTAGTACAGTTCATCTGCTCAAAAGTGTTTTACCTGTGTGTGACTGACATAAGTCTACTGGAGTGTTTATCCTTGCAAAGATATGTGTGCTATTATTATAGGCTGTTTTATTGTGTAAAGTGATCTTTGAAATCATCTGTCATGTTTTCATGTGTTTCTCAAATAAATTTCCTTTTAAAATGTAAATAAATGCTTTCAGTGTGGGTTAAGACAGTGTCTCACTATGTAGTTCAGGCTGGCTTTGAACTCACTGTGTAGCCCAGGGTGGCTCCACTTCTGGGGGCCCAGAAATATGGGCTATGGCCCCTCTGGACCATCAGGTCAGTCACTCCGAAGGACTTGATCTTGAGCTTCTGGGAGCTGCTGGTGGTCTGAGCTCAGAGTCTGCAGACCAGACCAGACCACAGCCCTGGAAACCAATCCCTTGCTGCCTGGAGTCCATGGGACCTTGATTCTAAAAGAAGAACAGCTGTTCACGAGAGTGTGTATGTGACAATGGAGACATTCTGACATCTGCAGGATGCACAGGTAAGGAATTAGAGGTCATGTAGTCTTGTCCCTGTGTACATATCATGTCACAATCTCTGCTATTTGAGGCCAGCCCTTGCTTAGACAATCCCAGTAATGGAGAGTTCTTTACCTTCAGCACAGGACTGTCCTTTGTGAGAACAGTTCAGAGGTGTGGGTTTTTAAGGTCATTACTCAGAGGAAATCTACCTCCCTCCTACTTCTTCCCATCAGTCCCAGTTCTACCCAAGGGAGCTACATGGGAGAGTGGGGCTGCAGGGAGAATAACTGCAGGTAGGCCTGTGAGAATGTAAACCTTGCACTCATCAGCTGTGTAACTAGAGACCATCTGTTCAACCATCCTGAGCACATCTCCTCATCCATAAAATGAGGATAATAATAAAGGATGCTTTGTTGCACTGCTGGGGGAATTAAGATAATGCATGAAGCATATGTAACATAATTCCTGGCACAAAGAAAGTGATTAGCTCATTGTATGTATTATTTCTAGTCGAATCCCCTCAACTACAAGAAAATCTGGAGAGTTTGAGACAATGGCATCTTTACCAAGAGGCCAGGCCAGCAATGATCTCCATCTTCCGTTTCAGGATTATCTAACAGCAGAATAGGGGGCCAGAGAGTATGCCTGCTGCCCCCCTGCCCACACTCACCAGTGATGAGGTTGTCCACAAGGGTGGTGGGCATGCAGAAGATGCCCACCAGCAGGTCGCTGACAGCCAAGTTGAGGATGAACATGTTGGTGACAGTGCGCATGTGCCGATTCTTAAGCACAATGAAGCAGACCAGGGCGTTGCCCACCATGCAGAGAAGGAAGATGAGCACATAGGCCACGATGAACATGGCTGCCACCAGTGAGGAGTGCTGGTAGTAGGAGGAGAAGGTGAGGTTTGCAGCTGGAGCAACCTCAGCATTACTCTCATTCTGACTTGGGGGCCAGCTGCCATTGGGAGACTGAGAGGGCTCCCCTAGGACCAAAAGAGCATAGAAGTCAGGACCCTAGGCAAAGAAGACATGGCCAACTCTTCACCATGGGTGAGACCCTTCTGTGTGGCTCACCTTTGTATCCTGGTCATGTGCTTGACTCCAATGCCAATGGATCCATTCACACCTTCTAACTCACCACCACTCCAACCCTGATCTCTTACCCCATCTTCCCCAAGACCCATTCCCCAGTGTTGACTCTTCTCCATCAATACTCTCCAACCCATCCATGCTCCATCCTCCTGGGCCTTGCTCTTGGCCAAAAATGGCTCTTACTTCTATGGCCTACATCATAGGGGTTCCCTTGCCCTCTGGCTTCTGACTGGGTTTAGCCAATAGGTGGTGTAAAGGAGATGCAAGGGGAGAAAAAAGGTGAGGTCCAGGCATTTGTCTCCTAACTCCCTCCTCACTTGGCCCAATTCTGCCAGAAGATGCCTCCCAGTCCCTTACGGGCACAGCTTGATCCTTGCTATTTTTTCAGTGTATCCTCCAAAAGCTCATGTGTTGGACTCTTAATTCCCCAAATCCTGTTAATATATTTAGAAGTGGGGCCTTTGGGAGATAATTAGGATTAATGAGGTCATAAGGGTGGGGCCCCCTGGATGGCATTAGTGGCTTTATAAGAAGAAAGAGATTCTGAGCTAGCATACTTTCTGTCTCACCATATGATCCCTCCACCATGTCACAATGTAGCATGAAGGCCCTAGAAGATACTGGCACCATGCTCTTGGACTTCCCAGCCCCTCAAACCACAAACTAAATAAGCTAGTTTTTTATAGACGACCCAATCTTGGGTATTTCATTATAGCAACAGAAAATGGACAAAGATGCTCTTCTTCCATGGCTCTAGCTCTTGCCAGGCTACAGCAGCTCTGTTCTCTCTCCTTGTACCCAGAAGTCTGCAGGCAGGAAGAGCATCCTGTGCTTGCTTAGCTCCATACTGAACATGTAGCAAGGTGGCCCTTCTGTTTCTGTTTCTGCTTCAGAACCAGGCTTGAGCATGTGTTTCTCAAGCCGTGTTTCGAAGGAATCAGCTCAGTGTCCAACCATAGCTCTTCTGGGAAGTCATTAGCTGTGGTGACTCACCATGTTGTCTTACAAACTGCCTTCCTCTGGGACTGAATGTGGCCCAGTCCAAGGGATGAAGAGTCTCTGGGGAACCTTTCTGCTGTACCCAGAGCTCAGCCACTGGCCCACTGGAGGCTTGAGACCTGGAGGCTGGAGGTCCCTGGGGGCAGCAGGGCCAATGAGCTGGAGCCATCAGTACTGCAGGGATGAGCAGTGGCTGAGGGGGGCACTTCATTGGAGGGCAGAGCTGGGAAGTTGGAAAGTTCCTGAGCCTGGTAAGAGGGGATGATACCCTCTGCTTAGGCTTCCAGTGGCAAACATCATTATTATAATATAGAAAATATAACTTTGTACAAGAGAGACTGTTATAGTGAACCTATCAAAGAGCATAGTTTTTTTTTTGGTACCGGAGATCGAACTCGGGTCCTTGCGCTTTTGAAGCAGGCGGCGGAACCACTGAGCTAAATCCTTGGCCCTCAAAGAGCATAGTTTAACAAACCAGTACAAGACAGAGTAGTATAAAGAATTCCCTTGTATACTTCACCTACCTTCAACAACAATCAACTGAAGGCCAACCTTGTTCCAGCTATACTGTCTTTTTGAGTTATTTTGAAGCAAACACCAGACATCATTTCTTTTCATCCACAAATATTTCAGATTGTAGCTCTAAAATGCATCTCTCTCTCTCTTTTTTTTTTTTGGTACTGGGGATCAAACTCAGGACCTTGCACTTTCGAGGCAGGTGGTGGAACCACTGAGCTAAATCCCCGCCCCTGAGTCTCTAATTTTTTAAAAAGCCACTATCACATCATTATCAAGTCTAGCAAAATTAGCCATTAAGTTGCACTATTAGCAAATGTTCAGCATCCACCATTCAAAATTCCCTGATGGTTTCCTAATTGTGTGAATGGTTTGAGGATCTGAGCAAGATTGCTACTACCCCAAACACTTGGCAAACCACCCCAACACTTAGTGCTGTGGCACCATGGCTTTGACATCTGGGTGGTTCTTCTGCAGGTTTCTCTTGAGATCTCTCATGCAGCTGTGGCCATCTGATGGCTGGGGCTGGAAGGTTTAAGACAACCTCCTTCCTGTTATTAGTGATTAGTGCTGGCTACTGGCATGGGGTGGGGGTCTCAGTTCTCTACTGGCCTCATCCTCCAGGAGGCTGGGCTTTTTTTTTTTTTCTGGTACCGGGAACTGAACTCAGAACCTTGTGCTTGCCAGGCAGGTGTGGTGCCACTGAGCTACATCCCCGGCCCTGGACTGGGCTCTTTAGAGAACAGAGCCCTCAGAGTTCCAAGAGCAAATTAAGAAACTGGTATTTTCACGTCATTTCTGCCACTTCCCATTGGCCAAAGCAGCACGGGTGCAAGTGAGTGAAGAAATAGTTTCCAGCTCTCAGTAGGAGGAACGAACACCCACATTACATTGCAAAGAGGATCTGGACCTGGGAGTGTGATTCACTAAGTTTTGTCATTATAAAATCTACCACCAAGCCTATACTGCATTTGACTGATATGGCTCCTGGGTCTTTTTTAGTTTACAGCTTCCCCCTCTGTGTCTTTCTCCTTTGCAATATATTTGTCATAAAGATGGCATGATTTATCTGTAAGTTTCCTGCAGATTTTGCTGATTGCTCCCTTGTGATGTCGTTTTACACATTCTGCTCTCTGTGGCCTGTATTTCCTATAATTAGTAGTTGGATCTGAGAGGTTTGATCAGAGTATGTCTGGTAGTCTCTTGATTTGTGGTGCTTAGCTTGATCAGCAGCTTCAGAGGATTTCAGTCTGATCCTCCACCATCAAGTTCCCCATCTGCTTTTCATTTAATACTTTAGCACCCACTAATGAGCATTACCCAGACCCTTAATTGCATTTTAAATACAATCCACATTCTTTACCCTGGCTTCAACCACGCTGTGTGGTCTGATCCTGTTGACATCGCCCGGTCCTATGCAGTGCCTCTCTCTCCTAGGCCTGTGACAGTCTGGCCACTTTGACACCCTCTCAGAGCCTATACACTCTTGCTTTTTCTAACCCCTCAGCCTTTGTTCTTCCCCTCCTTTGGTTCTCAGCTTACATGTTGTCTCCCCAGAGAAGCCCACACTGATTCCTCCTCTATTATCTCTCACAGTAACTTATGTTCATCAGTCTGTTCATATTTAATTTGTTTTCAGGATTAGTGCCTCCCCTCTACCCTGTGCTTGAAAGTCAGTTTCTGCAGAGCAAGGATCTTCCCTTTCTTGCTGGTGGCAGTGCCTGCCCCTACTCAATGCTTAAGTAAACAGCTGATGAATGTGCAATGAATAAATATTTGTAGGAAGCAGAAAAGGAAGTTCAGATCCTGACACCAGGAGACAAGGTGCTGCTCAGAGGGGGCAGTGCTGTGTTGAAGGCCTTCTTTAGGCCTCTCCAGAAAGAGCCCAGGATAGCATCACTTATCCCAGGCCTGTCACAAGGATCACCGAGCTGAGCCTCAAAGTCAACCCCAAAGTAGTTTCCATGATTGCGGGAGATCAGTGGGTGTGCATGGGCAGAAGAAATTGCCAGAACCTTTCAGGATAGACTCTAGCCTATCTGCTTCCTCAACTCCCTTCCCTTGGCTCTCAAGTGAAGCCATTTTCCAAAATCTACTCCCAGAAAGTATCTGAGAATGACCCTGCCTGTCTCTAGTGCCTCCACCAAGCCTGGGCATGTTAGACTCAGTCCAACTTCCAGCACTACACCTGGTCCTCTCTCCCTGAGGAAGAACATCTGCCTGTTCCCAGCAATTCCCTGGATGGCAGGGCTGCTTGCCTCCAGGCAGAAGACTTCATTAACACCTTGGACTTGTCCTTTCTGGGATCTGTCAGGTGCCCTTCTGGCTACATCCTGTGAAATTTTTACCCATTAAACCCAATTAACCTGCTGGAGGTCTTAGGATGTAATGAGGCTGTCTCCAGGGCATGCTGATGATCTCAGAGACCAAGCTCTGGACCACTGAAAGTCAGCACAGGGAGAAGGTCCAGGCACAGCAGTTCTCAAAGTGTGGTCCCCACTAGCAGAATCAGCATCACTGAGAACTAATTAGAAACAAATATTCTCAGGTCTCATCTCTGATCTAGTGAGCCAGAAATCTTCAGGGCTGGAGCCCAGCTATCTGTGTTTTAAACTGCAAAGCATGGCTAAGAAGTCAGTGGTATAGAACTTACTTACCATTCAGAAGGCCCTGGATTCCACCCTCAAATGTCTCTTTAAAAACAAAAGAAAAGAAAGTTTTTAAAAAAGCATCCTCCAGATGATTCCAATGCACATAGCAGTTTGAGAACCCCAGGACCAAAAGGCCTTGGACCAATGCCCAGGTAGAGGATATCCACTCTGGGAAGTCCGAGTCCTTCTTCCTGCCTCCCACCCTGGTCCTCAGGACTTAGTGTCTCACCTTTAAAACAGAAATACAACCATTTCTTGGCTGTGGTGTAGGGTAGATAATATCGCCTCCCTGGAAACCAGATTCCCTATTGCTGAGATGGAAATAAATTAACTCCTACCAAAGAGGGGTTGTGGCGAAGTCTCAAGGAGGTGACATAAAGAGCTTGGAGCTGATTGGCTGCTCAGTACAGGTCAGCTGGGTAGTAGCAACATTGAGTGTGTAGACTGCACAATGGATGTGAGAATAGTATTTTATAATACTCTAGTGGGAGCCTCCCTACAAGCCTGAAAGACCTATGAGAAAGAAAGCAACGCTCAAATGAAGGCACTTAGTCCACCCCAGCCCAGAAGCACCCAGAATTCACAGGTCTCTCACTAATAACATCATCGTTGCCGCCACCTGCTGGTTTGTCCTGGTAACACTTAGGGACAAAGGCCCAGACCAGAGACTCAGTTCACTCACTGGACACCACCTCCTGGGAGACTCTAGGTGAACCCAGCACTGGATCCGCTGAAAAACACCACGTGAGGGGGCTGCCAAGGGTACAGGGGACGAAACAGGACAAGCAGCTAATAAGCCACTTGAACATAAAGTTCAAGTTCATTGGTAATGTAAGAAATGCCATTTATAAAGGAACATCAGGGTAACCTTTTCATCAGTCAGACTGGCAGGGGGAAGTGCTCAGGGAGGGATGTGCACTGCAGGGGGCATCCCAATCATCTGAGCCTTCACAGTGGGACACCGCCAGCCAGCACCTGGACAAGGGACCTGCTCCCAGATCCAGCCTTCCACTGGGCATTGTGAGCAGCGACACTTAGTAGCACATGGGAATATATTGACCGTGAGTTGTCATGGTCACAAAATAGTACATGCATGCATTATAAATCCCTAATCCATATAAAAAGAGTTTTTGTGTGACCTGAAGATTAACTTTTAAAAATTAACAGTGTTGGTCCACAGGGGGTGGTGTTTCCTCAAGACATTTTTATTTTCCTTTTTTCCAACTTGTATGTTATATGTCTAATCAGAAAGCAACTCTATTCCATGTGATAGAATACTGATTATATCACCAGGGGTTCTCAGCCCTGATTAATAACAAAAGCACAGGATTTTCAATGCAGACCCCCACTCCCCATGCCCCACCAAATCGATCAGAATTTCCAGGGTGGTGTGCAGGCACTGGTATTTTTTTTAAAGCTCCCTGGTCATGTCCCTGTGCAGCTGGGTTTGAGAACCACTGAACTGTACAGTATCTACCCTCAAGGCCAAAGGTTTTGTAGAGCTTAACATTGTGAGGGATCACCAAACTCTTTGAGGCTGCATTTTAATTCATTTAATGCTTTTAATTCATTTAATGCATTTTAATTCATTTCACAGAGGCTTTGTGAGGACTTTCTCCTGACACACAGTGAAGTGGTCCCTGTTTGGAAAGGAATTCTGGTCTTCAAAAGCACTGGCTCTTCTCCCAAAAGGAACGCCCGATGTCTAGCACACACTCTCAGGGTAGTACTGAGCTTTTAGGGATTTGGTGCATTCTGCATCATTACCTCTCCTTAGAGCACAGTGACTTCTCCCTTGGGGAGTTAGCCCTCCTTGCGTGTAGCTTTTGAGGGCTGTCAAGCAGGAGTCTGCACTTACCTTCGACTAAAAGATGGCGTTTGCTTTTGCTTTGCATTTGCCTCTGGGTCCTAGTAACACATCTTTCCCTCTCTCAGGATGACTATCCCTCTCCTTCCAGTGGAGTCCCATTGTTGATTAAGTCAGCCCGCACAGCTTCTGTTGCTGTAATCCCAGTGTCTTGGCTAATGCAAGGGATTCAAGCAAATCACCCTGGACCTCCAAGGGGTTGACAGAGTCCAGATTCAGAACCCCAAGCATGGTAGAAGGCATAAAGTTGGGCAGGAATAGCACCACAGACCCCTGAAGCTCCTGCTCCCCAGATGAGATGTTTGCCCTGCTCCCCATTGCCTCTAGTCTCAATAACTTTTTTTTGGGTTCTGGGGATCAAACTCGCACTTGCAGGGCAGGCGTCAGAACCACTGAGCTAAATCCCCAGCCCCACTGCCTCTTAACAGGCTATGTAGGGCCAGGGATTTAGCTCAGTGGTTCTGGCGCCCGCCTCGAAAGCGCAAGGTCCTGAGTTCGATCCCTGGTACCAAAAAAAAAAAAAAGAATAATGAACAGGCTATGTGACCTTCCACGGAGGCAGTGTTGCTGCAAAGGTGCAAGGACACTGAACTAAGAACCAGAAACCATGGCACTGAGAGTTGGCCAAGATGGTCACTCACTGGTTATAAGGTGGTTGAGAGGCCAGTGACTGTACAGTTCTGACACAGAGGTAAATTGAGCTTGATATGGCTCCAGGACTGATGATGGGGTCACTAATCCCCCGTGCCACCTCTTTGTACTCATATGTGAACTGGGGAGATCATTTCATCCTCTCTACCTCTCAAATGAGGATGGCCCAGGCTTCTCGCCCCTCCTCCAATCCATGGGCTTGTTACAGACCCAGAGAGTCATTAGAGTAAATTATAGAGGGCCTCAGAGACCTATGGGCTATCTGCCAGGCAGCCTGGGAACTGAAGGGACACAGTAATGAGCCTGTTCCTTTGGGTGTGCACCCAAACAAGCGAGCCTGTGCCAGGCCTGTGTTGGGACTGCTCAGGAGAGCAAAAGGCAGATGAGCAGGAGGATCCACAAGGAAGGAGGTTTCCTGAGACCTGTGACCTCCTACTGCCCTCTTCCTGCAGCCCGAGGCAAAGCCCATCCTCGGGTAGGTCTCACAATGCAACATGGATTTTGCAAGCCTGGTTCCTTCTTGGTAAGTATGAGCAAGTAGGGATAGAAGAGACTTAAAGGGTAGGGAAGGAGAAATGACAGGGAATCAAGGGTTGTCTTCTCCTTTGCTCTTGGCAGGCCAAACGTATGTTCCAGAGTTCCCTTTCTGGTTTCTATGGCTGTCTGCTTTCCCAGAGTCTGCCTGGTCAATCCACCTGCAGCACTGGCCACATTTCACTTCCTACTTTACCTAGGTATACAGAGGATTTTTTCCCCCTTCCACTAATCTGAACATGCCTTAGGGGCAGAAGTCATGTCTAATGCAGCTCCAAAGGTTACCTACTCTCTGGCATGTGGCAAGAACCATTAGATAACCAATGAATGTTGGCAATTAATGTGGGGTCTGAAGGCTATGAATTTCCCCCTGATACAGCTTTACCTGTATTAAATAGCTTTTGCTATATATTGTTTTCATTACTGTTGAAATATATTTTATACAGCATCAAACTATCTTTGACAAAGAGAGAATTATTTTCCATTCTCAGGAAAACCACAGCTCAAAGACAAAGAAACTTGCACTCAGAATACAGCATACATTCCTGCTTTTGCTGGACTCCAGGATTCAGGATGCATCCAGTAAAGTAGGAGACCTGGCCTGAGTTGCCCTTGCTCTCCCTCTGCTGTTTCCCACCATTTTACACCCTCTCAGGTACCATTAGCTCCCCTGTGAAGATCTCCTGAGACTCCTGCTATGAAGTTGACACTAGGAATACTGCAAACATCATCTAAAACCTTGCCTGGAGAAGGAGGAATACAGTGGCCAGAGACAGAAACACAGTTCCTCTGGGCTCCTCTGAGCAGTACAGAAAGAGGATGCTTAACCTCTTTGGGATCCATTCTTCCTCCACCCAATACTTCTCAACTGAGCAGCACCACCCAGAGTCTCAGGGTCCCTGTCTCAAGTTACTTAATCTTCTTTCTCCCCCCATCTTCTCAAGATCTTGTTTAGAAAAGAGTTTGATGAAGAGTTCACATGGATGAGGAAATGAGTCATAACGGCTCACAGTGCACCATCTCTTTTGGCATTTGCATTTCAAAAGGAGTCAAACCTTAAATCAGAAAATGCGAAGATCTTGATGCAATTTCAGTTACTAATGAAAGCGCAGCAAAAAGCTTTGGAGAAGAGGCTGAATTTAATTCTTTTATGTTTGCATCATGAGCAGAACTGGTAGAAATTAGTCACGTTATCGGTGCCATGCACCATGCCTTGGATCCTCATTTGTAAAATCAGGGTTGAGCAGCTGCTTACACAGGCTTCTCTGGGGTCTGAGCCTGGAATCTTTGCAGTAGAATGGGACACGAGGTGACTGAGCAGAAATGTTTATTTTAAATGGCTCCTCGACTCTCCTGAGAAGCAGGATAGATGGCCAACAATAGACTATGGCCCCATTGAGAACTCAAGCTGCACCCCTTGGCCTCTGTTTCCCTAGCAGCAGCTGACTTCCCTCCCACTGTCCATAGCTGAACAGGAAGGTGCAGATCTTCATAGCTGGACTCCACAGAGGGTGGGGCCCAGAGTATCCCCAGAATCTGGCTCATCTATGCCGCAAGAGCCAGCAGACCTACTATAGATAAAGCCAGGGCATGCTGTACTTGTGGGGCTTCAGTTTTGTCATCTGCCAAATGGGAATGCTGCTGTCTCCCTGCCCACCCCCTGGGCTGGATGGACAGCTCTGGAGTGAGGGCCTTGTGGAAAAGGACAGGGCACAGTGACTCTGGCAGCCACATTTCTGTGGAAAAGCAGAACCTTTCCACACGGGCCTCCAAGATGCTCCTGTGTACTGTGCTGTGCTTCTCT